CTCCCTCCCTCCCTCCCTCCGCGGGGGGGCCGGGAAGCCCCGGAACTACTCTCCCACCCCTTCTGGCGCCCTCCACGCGCAAAGTTCCTCCCGGGATGATGGGAATTGTGGTAGTCCAAACACACCCGGAGGGAGCCAGATCGGGGAGCCTGGCCGGGGCGCAGTATTGCCCGGCCTGGGCGCAGGCAGCCTGTGGTCTTCCAGATGTTTGGGGCCAGGCGTCAGCCGCGGCCAACAAGGCCGGGAGCAAGAGATGGTTGAGACTGAAGTCCCAGACGTGCATTTATGTATTGATTTTGCAAATGTAGCCTCTGCTCTTCGTTGCCTGAGTCGACTCCTCGCTTATTGCTGTTACTGTTGTGTCTCAGTGCCTGGCTGGTGTGTTGTGCTTTTGCCTTATACCAATGCACATATGTGGGTGGACAGAGGCGGGTTGGGGGCATTCCCTTTGGGGGCCGAAAAGTAGGGTTTGAAGCAGGGCAGCCTTTTGGTTTTTGGGTGGGAAGGAGAAGAGGAAGTCCGCTCTGCACGTTCCCAGAGGCACTCTCATCTTTACCATTCAGGCTCTTTCATAAGCATGCCTTGTACCGCTTTTCCTCCTGTGCCTGTTTCTGTAAGGTACCTACTTCGGTTTATAATTCTGTGTTGTCATTATTGGCCAAAAATGTAAAATGTAATACTTAATACAACCCACTCTTGTGTGCCTGGAACAAACCAGTGGCAAACCTCTTCTCTGTTGCCAAGAAAGCTACATGGTTATGTCCGTGAAGCCAGCAGAAGTCAGGCTCGACTCAAGGATATTTTTATTTTTTTAACGGAGCATAAAAGAATATAGACACCTGTGGAATTGATAAATACTTGATTACATCTGGCTTTCTGACTTGGGCAGTAAAATTGATGGCAGTCAGGTATATAAATTTGGTGCATCTATGTCCATTGAATTTAATAAGAATTACTAGCCTGCAAACTGCTTTTATTAGCTTGCTGGGAGGGATAGGGAAGGAACAGAGCATGACATTTTTCTGCTGGGCACACAAGAGAAGGCATCCTTTCTATGTCAGTCCAGTTGGATTCTCTGCCTGGCACAGGAGTAACAGAATGCTTCACCCTTATTCTTCTAATTTGATCATTCCCTCACATGAAATCCCATGCACCTTTTCTATACAGCTCCTGGTTGCCACAGACTGCATGTAGAAAAGTACATGGAAAGAAACCCCCACAGGTTCACTAGATGCTTAATTCTGGACATGTTTTGATTAAAAAAAAAAAATGTTTGTGGGTAGTGCTGTCCTCATGAAGTAACATGAATGGGTTCATCTTGCCTGCGAACTAAAATATGGTTGGCTAATTTGTGGGTCTGTGTTATGCGAATCCAGTCAATGAACTGGTTTGGTATTTTTTTGCAAAACCAGGCAATTCAGTTAATTCACTAATCATGGATTAGTGCTGTGTGTATTCAGCCCTTACATATTAGCGCCTCAGTTGTGCTATTTCATCTCTTAGTCACTTTTCTAAATATTCCATATTTTACAACTTCAGGACTGTACCATATTTCATCCAGAATATCAGCTGTTGGAGTACATTCACATGTAAGATGGAAGCTTGGGTGCACCATCACATGACAGGTTACTAATGTAAATATTTATGATATATTCAGGGCTCATAAAATCCTTTCTCAGAGGAGAGGTAAACTTTCAAAGCATGGATTTCTCCACCTTAAGTTAATATCTGAATGAGAAAAAATTCCTGGTATCTCCAGCAAACAAAAGCTCACTTTGGTTCCCACAAGCCTTGCTGGACTCTTTAAATTGGCCACATACAACATAATGGAGTGATGTCCATCCAGTGTATTTCACAGGATCACTTTTAAGAGGTATGAGGTAAAAAGTGACAGTACAGATCACTGTCCTCTGTGGATGACAACAGGGATGTCTTTTGGTCCCAGTCCCACTTTGGAGTATTGTTATGGAGCCATTGGCTCTGAGATGGAGTGAAATTGCTGGCAATGGGAGAATTGCCAGCAATTTGGATTGGATGCTAACAAATGGTCAAGTTCTGGTATGAGATTCTCTGCCTTTGGATTTAGGACAATGAGCTCAGTTCGTAGTTACAAGGTCTGGTCCTGGTTTTTGGTTTCGTTTTTCTTCCCCATCTACTATTTTTGTGTCATGTCTTTCAAACTGTCCTGTTTAGAAAACCCTATGGACTCTTCTAAAGCCCCTAAACATTATGCTCAGCTCAGAGGAGACTTTTACCAAGTTTTCAGTCTTTCTGCTGAAGAGTAAAACTATTTCAGTAAATAATGTCAGTATAGCACAATGTGGTAAGAGCTCAGTAAACCATGATGCAGACCATCCTGCTCTAGTCCAATGGGATCAAGACTCAAATGCTGCCTACTGTTTAAGAAAACTCTGGGTTTTCATGATTTTGTGTAATAGGTCTAATACTTCAGGAAGGTATCACTTGTAAAATGAAGAATACTTCTTAAGTATACAAGTATTATACATTTTTCCTTCTATGTTTTATTAAGTTTTATTCCTTTGTGTTTTATTATGTTTGCATTAGCATACATAGGTTGCAAAATGAGTGTCCCTGACTATATGCAGTGTGCGGAGGATCATCAAACGTTACTAGTTGTGGTCCAGCCAGACGGGATTGTTCCTGAAGAGAGCTTTTTTAAGATCTACAAACGAATCTCAGCAGTGAGTCAGATCAATGTCCGTGACTCTCAGCGAGTTCTTTATATCCGCTACAGACATCATTACCCACCAGAAAACAATGAATGGGGAGATTTTCAGACGCATCGCAAAGTTGTAGGTTTAATAACCATCACAGACTGCTCCTCTGGAAAAGACTGGCCTCAAACCTTTGAAAAATTCCACCTTCAAAAGGAAATCTATGGCTCAACCCTTTATGATTCCCGGCTGTTTGTCTTTGGACTTCAGGGAGAAATTGCAGAGCAAACTCGTACAGATGTGGCATTTTATCCTAGTTATGATGAATGTGAAAATGTGGAAAAGAGAATAGAAGACTTCATTGAATCTCTCTTCATTGTACTGGAGTCCAAACGTCTTGACAGAGCTATTGACAAATCTGGAGATAAGATCCCACTTCTGTGTGTTCCTTTTGAAAAAAAAGATTTTGTTGGCCTGGATACAGACAGTAGGTAAGTAGCTTCAGTTTATATACAGATCTTCTAAAAATATTTGTCTCCAAGTATAGAGATGAGGAAATATTATTCCTGAAAGTAATGGTGTAATACTTTAAAAAGAATTTGTAATATTGAAGATGCTACCAGTAATTAATTAAAGTTTGCCAGCATTTTCAGTGTGTTCACTATCAGAACACATTTATTTGCATTTATATCCTGCTACAATCACCAACACTTGGCAGGTTGCATGATGTAGCAGAAAGTAAAAACATCCACAGTATGACTAAAAATGTTAACAAAACAGCAATCATAAAACCCCAAGCTGAAAAACGCAAGATAACCAAAAGAAAATACCTAAAAATAAGCAAGACTAAAAATGAATAAAGATGATGCAGTGCTTGAACTCCGTTAAAATGCGCTCTGAAAAATTAAAGGAGATATCATGGTCCTCACTGGGAGACTATTCCAGCACACTGACACTACTATGGAGAAGCAGCACCTTCTGACTTCAGCTCTGTTCACTTCTTCGAAATGTGAGACAATGCGAGTATGTCCAATTCTAGTTGAAATAGGGAATCCTGCAGGGTCCCAGGGGCTAAGCCAAAAAATGACTTTATAGGTCAAAACCTACGTGGCAGAGTTGTTCACTGATATCAATAGACAACCACTGCAGGGCTTATGTGATTCATAAGATGCCAGTAAGGGTGCAGGCCACTGCATTCTGGGCCAGTTGTAGTTTTTGAGGCAGTCCCATGAAGAATCATTGTAGTATTCTAATCAGGTGGTAATACACATATGGGTTACCTCGACCAGGTCTGCCTTTGGTGCACTAGCCAAAGCTGGGCAGAGGCCCTTCTAGCCACAGCTTTCACCCACTGCTGGAGCAGAAGCCGTGAGTCCAGAGGGACCCCCAAATAGATATAAATGGATTGCAAAGCTCTTCAGGCTATTTGATAATGTTTCTACTAGCTTTTGATTTTGGTGAATCGATTTTCATCGTATTTATATTATGTAGAAGACATAGCTGAGCCTGGTTGGTGGACTCCTTATTTTCATCATTTGTTTGCATACTGGTTTTTAATTTTTTTTTATTGTTTTTACCTGTTGCGAGCTGCCCAGAGTTACTTAGATGAGATGGGTGGCCGTACAAATTGAAACAACAACAACAACAACAACAATAATAATTTCCAATTGACAGGTCTCCTAAGGCAAGAGTCTTATGGAAGATTGAGAGACCCAACTGAACAGCTTGTTCCGTGATATAAGAATTGAGGGAAAAGAGAAGGGATACCCAACTTGAATACAGGCTTTTATCCCATGATTCTTAGTTTTGCTTGTGAGGCTTTGGTGAGGGACTTTAATAAAGGGATTTGAAAGTTCAAATATATGGTGTCTTACCAGATCACCCCATCCACATGTTTTATGATTTTTTTAAAAGTGTAAAATATGAATGGGAAAAGACTTGCTTTTGATGAAGCCACAAAGAATTTACTTCAGCAGCAGTGTAAACACACACATTCCTTTTGCTAGACAACCTGCTACCCAAACAAGTACTTTCATTTGTGGATAGATTAACATTTCAGAAACTCAGCTCTTTCCATGTACAGTACAATTTAATTCATGCCTGTTTGCCTGGAAGTGATTCTTAAATTGTTATTTCAATCAGCAAAGAAAAGGATTATTTAAGTGATTTATAGTTTTTGAATGAAGATATAAATTTAAAGTTAGGGAAATGTAAAATTAACATGCTTAAAACTAGATTATTTAATGGTTTAACTCTGCTTTTTAAAGCTAGTTCAATATCCTTTATTGTGCAGTGTCTGATTGAGATATTGCAGAAATACATTGCTCTGATAATAGGAGAAAATGGCTGTAATTATTTTGTGCTGGAATGTTGATACTCTACTGAATAATGTATATTATTGTGCTACATGCAGAAAATAAAAGCAGAAATCTTGCAATGCTCTGTGCAGCCAAAAAGGAAATTGTATTTTTCTGTTTTGGAATATGTGAAAGCTTATTCCCGTACTACCAAGGATTTGCAGAGACTGTATAATTGAATGCTTTCTATAAACAGGATCAGAAGCGTCCTTTACTAAATTTAAATCATTAGATGTGATTAAAATGTTATGCATACAAGTGAGCACATGATCTACACAGTCTGCAGTAGCCTAGTTCAGTCATAATGTTAAGCCATAATATATGGTTTGGCATTTTCTGCTGTGCTAACCCATCCACTCTACTTTGTTTATCTTGGTTGATCAGTTGGTTTCTATCTTTCTTGATTGGCTGCCCATTATACTAAGGCAAAAATAAATCACATTATTCTTTAGCATTAAAAGTCATTCATATCATGGATATATTCTTCCCTGCAGAAAAGGCAATTATGGAAGTGTTCTATGTTTGTCTAAGTTTATTGGCCCTGCATGATCCAGTTTGTTTCTATTTACTACACTGCTAGCGCAACTATAGGGCAAACAGCCTTTGAGAGTTTATTCTAAAGATAGAATGCTTGCTTAACATCTGTGGAGTAGTGGAACTAACTGTGGAGAAAATGTCATTTAAGTTGGAGCTGAGACTGTTGTGATAGAAAAAGAAATAAAATGCAGCTATAATATTAGTTACAGCTATGTGCAGCTGCACATTTTTTTATAGTAAGTGTAACTCCAGATAAATTGTCTCCATTTGTCTCCATTTGTTTTGACAGATTTTAATTAACAACATTTCTATATAGGCTCTCCTTTTAAAATAGTTACAGTTCAAACAGTTATTTCTCTTTTCAGTAAGTATGAACGTGTGCATATGCCCATCTATTTATTTATTAGGTCTGTACTTTGAATTTGAGGAGAACAAGGTACCCAGGAGTGTGCAGAGGCAGTGAAAACAGTAGCTTTGTCTTCTCTTGGGATCTTGTAGTTGCCCTCCGTGTTTGGTTTAAGATATTGCTGGTAGGCTCTGTGTGCGCATCCCGGTATGCTTCAAAGTACTTTTATCCCTTTGAATCCAGAGCCCCAGTATTTACGCCTGCAGTTATTGCTCAGAAGAGCAGCGGAGTCTGAGTCCAAATCTACAATTAGTCCTGAAGTGCACGATTGGGTGGCTGAGAGCTTTCTGATTAATTCTCTTCTCTTTCCCACTTCAAAGGCTGCCTTTCCCATTGGTAATGCTGCCCTGAACGCAAGCAGCAATAAAATTAGTTCTGTGAGGGCTTTACTCTAGATTCCGCTTCTCCAACAGTATTATTTCATACTTCAAAATACATTTCTGAAATCAATGGGGATTTTGAAAGCCATGTGTGATGCAATATTGGTGTGTGCATCATTTCTTGAAAGAAATATATGATTTTGTTGGGCTACTGTAAACTTAAGCATTTCTTGGCATCTCACTGTCCATGGTGCTGAAGTCTTATGGAGGCCAGTATTTGGCTTTGGGACAGCTTGGAAGACTTTGCACATTTTTTGTGAATGTACTATATTGTCATTCGTAGATATTTAACCTATACTAGAAGCAACCTAGTAGAATTGTTTAGGATGATTTATCCTAAATAATTCTACTAGGTTGCTTCTAATATAGATTAAATGACCTAGCGACAGTTTTAATCATATTTCTACAGAAAACCAAAGGTGGGGATTTAGCTCATTTCCAGGAAACACAAACATCCAAAAGATGCAATTTAATTTGTGCTCAATACTAGCGTGAGATCTGAATTGTTATCAACATATCATTGCCATTATCAACTTTCTTGGTTAGGAAACTTCACTCTGGTTCTTCCTTTCTTAATTTCAATTACTGCAATAGGAATTAATTTTTCATAGACGATTTTTCTACTTTCCACTTTTTTTTAAAAAAAATTGCCTTTATGAAATGGCATACTAATCACAAGGAGTGTTGGGAACGTAATGTGACATAGCACCAATCATTGCTTTCTACGTCCACATGGTGATGAAAAATAATCAGATAATAAGACATCTAGGACATGCTTTATTACTGTATGTTACTAAATAAAACTTTGTTAGCTCTGTCTATTTGTGGCTATTTAATTTTTTTCTATTCCTGTATGTTTCTAATTTTGTTTTGTTCCTTCCTTTCTTGTTTCTTGTTTTTTTTTCCTCTCATACTGCCCTGTGAGTGTGTTTTTGGGTCTCAAAAGGTAGGCCTTTGATCACATTGTATTTTTAAAAACTAGCTAGTTTTTGTATGCTGCCTTCTTATTTTGCCATCATTGAATAATGTAATGTTGCATTTCTGTGTCTTTCTATAATATGGCAATTTTATTTACACAGCAATTGATTGCTGCTGCCTGAATTTCCATTGTAGTTTTCATTCTTTTGACATTTGGCTAATGTTTTAGACACTACTTTTCTTCATTTATTTGCCTTGTCAAGTTAGGGAGTAAAAAGTAGTAGTAAACCAATATATCTTTTTTGGTACATGCTGGTTTTGCATTTATTTTGTTTTTTGGTTTCAAACTTTACAACACATTTAAGCTTCTGCTTATGCAGTTTCAAATGGAAAAGATTACTTCAGCTTACAGTAAATTTTGCTGGTCTTCAGAAGCCTGAGTGATGCTACAGCTATCAGTCATTTAGCTAAGCATGTTTTCTTACCTTAAATTTAGTGGACAATTATTTTGTAATTTTTGACATGAAGATCTTCACTAATTAATTTTGCATGCTTTTTTTCCTCTCTGAATCTTTGATCTGGTGACTTCTGATAACTTCCTGATTGTTCATTTTAATACCTATCGCTCATTCCAGTTCAGGAATGATTGATATGTATTAAAATTTCTGGCTATTGTAAAAGATCACTTCAGTCCATTAAGGAAGTTGCTGTATTTTAATTTATATTTGTACTTCTATGTATGAAGAACAATTTCATATCCCCTGCAGAGTACAAAATGCATTATCATACTTGGCTGGTTCAGGTGTAATGCCAAACAATGGGAGTTAGTCCACGGCTCGCATTCTCCATCTCTTTGCATCCTACTGAATTTTTTTTCATGGTAAGCTTGTTCCTTTTGTGTATAAGCAAGCTACTAACTATGTCAGTAATGCAGAAAATCAGTAGCTCTCAGCAAATTCAGAAGCTTGGCTTTTCATACATAGAAGATGAAGCATCAGATAAAATCAGCATTCTGAAAACAGGATCATTGGTTTGTCTAGAAGTTCAGACATATTGTTTCCATAAAGGATAAGTAGAAAGCCATCAAGATCAGAGCTGTTCTCAGGATTAGCTTCGCATGTATTCAAGATGTGTACTTTCATGAATAGGAGTTAATTCCTGAGTAAGCCCTTGTTACTGATGGGTCATTTTCTTTTGGCCTACATTTCTTAGAATTTAGTGGGATTTGGCTTCTCTTTCAAACTTGAGTGAAAGTGACTTCTTCCTCATAATAATCCAAGTCTGTGCTTCCTGAAGCTTTGTCTTTAATTTCTTGGATTTTGTTCCACATCTGCCTGTTCACCCTTATCCTATACTAAGGGTGAACAGGCACCCTTATCCTATAATTCCTCTAGCGTAGGCATAGCACAAGTCATAATTTTCTTGAAAAAACATTGGGAATTGTAATCAAAATGTGGCTTCTAATTCTGGTTTGACACGAAAGAAAAAAACGGAAGTGTAAGGTTCAGACTCATTTATATAATTGCAAACTACCATGTTGTCATTTGGACCCAATTGATTTCTTCTCATAGCTTGTCATTCTAGTTCTGTGTTTTTTTCTGCCTGAACAAGAATTCTTACTCCTTGTGTGCTTTTTATGTACCTTGTATTCTCTGTTCCTGCTTATTGCTTCCTCTTTACCATGCATAGACAATTATTTCTTGTTTGTAGCCTAAAATGCATAGTGCTTTATTCAGATGAAATCCTTTTTTGGCAATCAGTGTTATGGTTTTGGTTTTTATTACATTCTTAAACTATCCTTCAGCTGAAAAGGATATGAGAGTGGTCTATATCAAAAGTTTGTGTGTGTGTGTGTGTGTATTTATTTGCCCACCTTCAATTTTACATTTAAGAGGATTTGATTGATTATGTGCCATCAAGTCATTTTTGACTCCTAGTGACCACATAGATAACATTTCTCCATGACAATCTATCCCTAACCTGGTTTTTCACGTTTCCCAATGGTGCACTCAACTCCACTATAACTGAGTCCATCCACCTTGCTGCTGGTCATCCTCTTCTTCTCTTTTCTTCCACCTTTCCCAGCATTAAGAGGAATAACGAAAGCAAAAAGAGGATGATGAAGAAAGGGAAAACTAGGAACTGAAATTCCAGTTCTTAACGTAATTATTCTAGATGAGTATCCTCTGGGTGAGAAGGCAGGATAAAAATGAGCTAACAGCAACAACTAACTTGAAAATAAATGTTTCTGGAAAGATTCAACTACAAGGAGCTAGTCCAGTGATGGCGAACCTTTTGGGCTTGGCATGTGAAAAATTCAGAAAATGCCTAACTTGACTCTGCTGGCATGTCACACCCCCCCCCCAAGACAAAAGAGAAACAATTCTTTACATATTCATTTATTTAAAAAAATACAGTCCAATCGTGTGGTGCTATGTATTATGTAAAGAAACATCAAATAATTACAAAAATGAAATACGAGTAAAACAATCTCCATTTCTTTGGTTACTCAAACAGGGAGAATAGTTGTCGGGTGTTGGTGACCTGTCACCCAAAATGTTGTGGCGTGTCACCTTTGACACATGTGTCATAGGTTCACCATCACTGAGCTAATCCCTTAGCTGAGCAGATGGAATATATTTCACTTCACACTCAACTACTAACATAGAGTTTGGAGAAGGTCCCTAGTGTAATTTGATTCATTCAGGCATACCTCTGCTTTTAAATTCAGATTTACCTAACCTATTATCTGATTGTAACCAGATATCTATACTTAATTTCTGTTTGAATAGCTTGGAGTTGTAAAATAATCCTTGGGTTTGCCAAGGATACCGTTGATGGAGCTTTATGACTATATGCCTGAAAAGTATATCTTTTTCTTTTTTTGAGCGGCAAAAACTCTAATGATAATAATACCCAGCTGACATAGGAAGAATTTACTGAATTGTCTTAATTCACTAAAGTTTTTAGTGAAAGTTTTCTTTACCTTAGTTATCTTAACAGATCATAATGCACACCCTTTCATTTTTTTTCTTTTAGTTATGTAAATATATCTTTATGTCATAATCATCTATATGTCTTACAGCTGCCTGCGATAAATATAATTGATACACTTTGTATATAATACTTTATTCTCCTTTGTGTATATGCTAGATAAATGCAATAAATACTGCAATGTTAGGGTATTGTATCAGTTTAGGTGTATCTATAACTACTTTTTTTCTGGTATTTTTGCAATATTTCAATATTAGTTATTTTTTTCCCCAACCCATAAGAACTTGCAATATCAGTTGTCAATAGAAGTCAGTAATAAAACTGTAATTTAAAACAGAACAGTCATTCTAGTGAAATGTAACCAGCTGTGCCATAGAATATATAATTAACCTATTTATAAAGATAATTAGTTTTTAGGAAATAATTTTCTCATTCTAAATAAATAATATCTTCAGATTTGGAGAAAGTGTGATTATCTTGCCATTTTAAAATATCATTTTCTCTCAGGTAATCTGAAGATGTGGAATTAAATTAAGTTTTAATTTATAATCTAATGATACTACACAATATAAATAATTTAAATATTGTAAGTGCATGAAAAAAATGCTACCCGTCCTTTGCCTCTCTTAAAAGATTCCAAACCATTAAACTATTTTGCCCTTAGAAGGTGTAATAAAAATGGTCAATATGGTATGTCTACCTGTTGCTAAGCTTGGAAGTTATGTTGAGTCCATCCTAACTTATCAAGCATTGATCTTCCTAGTCTTCATATGATACCTCTGTTTGCCAAACTTACTGTGTTGCTTGGTGAGCTAACGCATTAAAAAAAGAAGAGGTTCACCCAATTCCATGGATAAAGAGGGGCATATTGAACTTTTAGACAAAGGCTATCCTGAGGAAACCATTGATAGCATTCCATGTACATGTTGCTGGTTTGTTTCCAGGTATGCAATGTCATATTTTCTGATGGTGACTATCCTTACTTATATTACATCCACTACAGTGAGTATACTGATAGCTGGGAATAGGCTTCTTTGCTCTTGATGAGGACCAATGATTGTTTGCTTGTCAGTAAGAAGCAAACTTATGCAGAAGAGTTAAGCAAATAAAGTCACTGTCTTTTAGAAGAGTACAGTTGAACTAATTCTGCACTGTTTGTTTTTGTATCCTAGACATTATAAGAAGCGTTGTCAGGGTCGTATGCGGAAACATGTTGGTGACCTTTGTCTACAAGCAGGGATGTTGCAAGATTCCCTGGTACACTATCATATGGCTGTGGAACTTCTCCGTTCTGTAAATGACTTTTTGTGGCTTGGAGGTAGGGATGATAGTGTTGGAAATAAAATATAATTGTATTTAGAAGGCTATATGGCATAACTTCTGATGCCATCATGTTATTTAACTTTGCATTCTCTAGGAAAATGGTTTGTGGTTTAGAGTCTACATTATTAATAATAAACAACAGCAATAATAAAGGATCATAATAAAATAAATATGGCTCTAAAATCACAATAATTTGTGATTCTCGGGGGTCTTCCATTGCACAGAGAATGGGAACAGTTCCAGGAAACAATAGAGAACAAACTCCTACTTGCTTGTGAGCAGATTTTATGGTGTTCTCTATGCTTTCGGACCATGAAATATGGAATACTATGCAGATAGTCTTTGGTTAACGACTACTCGTTCAGCGACTGTTCGAAATTGTGATGGTGCTGAATGAGTGGTACTTATGACTGGTCCTTGAAGTTCCAGCTGTCCGAGCACCCCCATGGTCATGTGATTGCAATCTGGGCGCTTGGCAACTGGCTCGTACTTAAGATGGTTGCAGTGTCCTGTCATCATGTGATCGCCATTTGTGACCTTCCCTGCTGGCTTCCCACAAGCAAAGTCGGTGAGAAAGCTGGCAGAGAAGGTCGCAAGTCGCTCCAGTAAGTTGCTACCACTCCCACTGCTTTTTCTCCCGAGGAGCCTGGCTACGGAGTACGAGATCCCAGGGATCCCATGCTCCATAGCATGTGCCCACCCGAAGCACTTCCCCTCTTTCTTCTGTAGCGCATGCCTGCCTTCCTGGCTGCTCTTGTGCATCCTGCAGTAGCCACCCTTTGCCCAGACATGTTCGTGCAGCACCGCAGCAGCTACCTGCGCACCCTCCCTCATCCTGCAGCAGCCACCCCTGCTCCGACCACACTTGCGTGGCATCACACCAGCCACCTGCACACTCTCCTATGCCCTGTAGCAGCTACCCCCAGCTGCGCTTGGACAGCACCGCAGCAGCCATTCGCCAGCCTGCTTGTTGGAAGCCGGCAGGAAGTTGCAAGGAGGTCCTCGCCTAATGACCCACAGTCCTCACTTAATGAAGGCAACGGGGACTGCTGGGATTGCCATTGCTAAGTGATGCGGTCACGTGACACCGAACTTTATGACCGCATCACATAGCAACAGTAATTCTGGTCCCAGTTACTGTGGTTAAGCAAGGACTACCTGTACTATACGGGATAGAAATTCAAGCACTGTTTCTCAGTGTAAAAAGTGTGCTGAAATAAAACTTGGTGACCACTGAGTCTGGGAAAATACTGTTAATGTGAAAGCAAAACTTTGTCAAAATTGCTCTGTGTATTTTCTCTATACTTCTGGCCAGGTGGTGAAATCTTTTCTGAGTATAGATATTGCCTCCTCCACCTTCCTATAGAAGGAAAGGTGAACATTAAGATTCTTCTTAAATGTTTTACCATTCTGTGTACCTGAACTGCTTAAGTGCCTTCTTATCTACCTCGTATTCAATGTATTGCATTGGATGTACTATATTCATTACATGAACAGGCCTTGGTAGAATTGCCATTTAAAGAGCTGTTTTCATCTATAGCTGCTCTTGAAGGATTATGTTCAGCCTCTGTCATCTATCACTATCCTGGAGGTACTGGAGGTAAAGTTGGGTCTCGCAGGGCACAAGGAGGTTCGCTTTCTGCAGAGGCAGGTAACCGGCACAGACCTGGTAAGCAAAAGCATGTGTTGTTTTTTAAATTGTAATGAGATTTTTTTTGCCTAGTAATTTTTTGCTGATTAAATATTGTTCGCAAGTTTTCAAGTGTGTATTTTTCTTTGAGGCTTAATCAGAATCTCTGTTCTAAGTGTGCCCATGCTGCATTTAAGATTTATTTTAGCCTTATATAATCCTACAGCTTCTAAATTTTCAGCAGCACAACATTTTGTCCTCATAACAAAGGCAGGATTTAGTATTTTTTTTTTAATTGGCAGATGTACTATCCACATGAGGAAAACAGCACCTACCTTGCAGATAGATAGCTTTGCTGCACGTATAACTAACTGACTTCAAAGCTTACAAATAACTAGTTTTAGTTTGGAACAGAATTCAAATAAAAGTTAGAATTTGAACATGTTTTGGTGTGTGATGCTAGAGGAGAAAAAAGCTGACTTTTAGACTTGAGACTAAAGAAGTTTTGCTCCCATCTGAATCTGAAGTGTTGATATCGATGGTGGTGCCATGGATATAGTAGGAGCCAGTGGCACTTAGAGAACAACACTTCTGAGACCACTCCAAATAAAAATGTTTTAGAAAGAATTTGTTAAGAATAATGGGGTAGTGTATAAGGTGCTGGACTGGCATTGGGAAGACTCTGGTTCAACTCTACCCTGAGCTTTGGAAACTGACTCTTTCAACCCAACCTAACCCAGAGGGCTGTTGTGGGAAAAAATGGAAAGAGGAAGTCCTATGTATATTGCCTGGAACTTCTGAATGAAAGTTGGAATATATATCAAATCAGTAAATACATTTCTACTCTGCTTTTCAAAAAGTCTATTGTTCAAGGCAATTAGCAGTAAAATTAATGATCAAATTCTAAGTAAAGCAAGAATAAATTATTAAAATGCCAATGACAAACATCCCAAACACCAAAACTAAATCCACACTGAGCATTTCAAGAAGCTGAAAACATCTGAGTAAAATTAACTGACCATGAGATCAAGAATAAACCCAAATTATTGGCTGTTGTCCTCTCACAAAATGTTAGTGACAAAGAACTAAAGTAATTTTTTCAAGGGAGAAAAAATCCTTATCCATTGCTGGAATGCAGAGAAGAGTGTCTCATGGAGATCTTCATGGTCCTCCACATGCTGTGATCTTAAATCATTTACAAGGCTGTATTTGCAGAACACAGACTTGTTTACAGAGATTGTGGTGGGATATGAATATAATAATAAATAAGTAAACAGATTATCCAAGTCTTGATTAAGGGATAACATACATCATGCTACTTGTTTGCAAGGAGTGTGCACCGGGCAGGATAAAGAAAGTCAAGATGGCATGATTGTGCAATTGAAACCCCACCTCTTTGTATGGGGGTGTGATGTTGATGCAAGAAAAAAAAGGGGGGCAGGGCTTAGTTCACATGGTGATCGTTGTCATCTTGACTCTTTCTGACATACCCCTATGGAGGCGCCTGCTTATTTGATTTAAACTTCTGTATTCTCATTATTACGCAGAGCACCCTTTTAGTAGCAATGTCTTTAGTTAAATTTAACTAAAATAATTACATTTTAGTTTTAAGTTTTTAAATTAAAGCTAAAATAATTTAAATTTAAATTATTTAACAAATGGATTTCTTTATTAGCAGCACCAAGTTTTTGATCGACTTAGGGTATATTATTAGGTGATAACTCTTTTCAGCATGCTTTACAACTCAGCATGTCTTTCTTTGCAGTAAACTTCCATGGGAGTAGGCTGGCTAAGGGCTAATATACCTGAGCCCTTACACCAGTGTTGTCCAAACTTGGCCACTTTAAGATGAGTGGACTTCAACTCCCAGAATTCCCCAGCCAGC